TATCTCTTTCTCCATTTCGTCTCTCTACTTTCTTACGTCTCTGCTCTCTCTCCTCTACTCTTCTCTCTCTCTCTCCTCTTCTCTCTCTCTCTCTCATATCCCTCACTTCCACATTCCACTTTCATCTTTTTCTCTTTCCCTTAATCCCCCCCTAACTCATTCTCCCTCTATCCTCAACTGTCTGTTCTGGCTGGCTGCTGGCTCTCTCTCTCTCTCTCTTCTCTCTCTCTCTCTCTCTCTCTCTCTCTCTCTCTCTCTCTCTCTCTCTCTCTCTCTCTCTCTCTCTCTCTCTCTCTCTCTCTCTCTCTCTCTCTCTCTCTTCACTTTCTCTCTCCCCCTTTCAACCTCAACTTTATCGCTCTCTCCTCTCTCCAAGTCTATCTTCTTCACTCTCTTCTACCTGCTCTTCTCTCTCTCTTCTCTCTCCTCTCTCTCTCTCTCTCTCTCTCTCTCTCTCTCTCTCTCTCCTCTTCTCTCTCTCTCTCTCTTCTCTCCTCTCTCTCTCCTCCTCTCTCTCTCTCTCTCTCTCCTGCTTCCTCTTCTCTCTCTCTCTCTCTCTCTCTCTCTCTCTCTCTCTCTCTCTCTCTCTCTCTCTCTCTCTCTCTCTCTCTCTCTCTCTCTCTCTCTCTCTCTCTGAGGTGATAACCCTCCTATATGACGATGGATACTGGCGGGCAGTAGTGATACACCGACGTGGCTTTCTCTTTATTATTAAGAGTAACGCACTTGATAACAATAATAACACGATGACTCTTGGTGCTGAGGGCAGGCTCGCCGAGGGTGAGAGACCTTGGGTCAAGGCCGGGTCAGCTTTTATACCCCTGCAGGCGTGGCAATTGCGAGGGCGAAGCATGGCATACTCGTCACGAGGACACACACCACGTGTTAGCTCGCCCCACGAGGGAGCGCTCACGTGGTATATGAGCTTGTATGCTACATTATGTTATGCAGTATGCTATGATCTTTCTCTCTCTCTCACTCTATCCCCTACACCTCTCTCTCTCATTTATTCCTCTCTCTCTCTCACTCTCTCTTCCTCTCTTTCTATCCCAGAAGCAACACTTATTTCACCATGACATAGATCAAGTTAATTTTTATATTGATAAATTAACAGGGCCAAAATCCATGAGTTAAAAGGCTATTACTTGAAATATATAGATGAAATTCTCCACCCCCCTCACGGTACCCCCCCCCCACTTGCAATCTACTGTGATGCTTATACTGATCCTCATGGAGCAGCAGGTATTGGTATACTATTTCTGACATTGCTCTTCAAGAAAGTGTGCGAATTTCCAACTGGACAAGCACAACTGATACCGAGTCAATAGCAATATACCATGCCATCAAAAAGGTAGTGAATAGCAGCGACACCCAGCTGTCTTCTCTGACTGCCAGGGTGCACTAAATAGACTTACAACATTTAGTCCGGAAAGCATAGTAATTATCATTACCCTTCACCAAACTGCTAGCCTATCCGAGCAGGTTATACAAGCGCCACTATACTGGATACCTTCTCATATAGGAATATCAACCAGTGACAAGGTAGATATGTTAGCAAAACAAGCACTTTTCCTTGAAGAATCATATTATGCAATATCGTTATCTGTCAGTCAAATAAAAAAAACCGTGTCTTCGAGGTTACGAGGGCCAGGTATGGACCATCGAAAAACTGAAGAAAAGTGGACGTGGTACTATCTGGCATAATTAAAGTATTGTCGGGTCATGTGATGCTGACAAACCATATATAGTCTAGGCTAACCAGTCTACGCATAGGATATCAATACACTATACATTATCTACAGGATGCAGTTTTGGAGGCAAAGCCAGTTACATATCACCACTGCAAAATTTGCAAGGCGCCCAAGTCGCATAATCTTACACATTACTTACTTTGTTGCTCATAAACTACATCCTATCGATCAAATAGCACTGTCCAGAGACCAATACTTATTGATTATATTAATTTTATCGTAGACATTGGTCTCGTCTTCGATATGATTAGGGATATAGTTTTTTCCCAACTAGATGTTATATGAACAATATGACGACACAACCCTTCAGGCATGTGGATCTAATGTTTGACTAATAGCCCTTTACATAAATATAAGCATAGCCAGTTGGATAGATGCTGTAGCATCTTACCCTGACTTTTTACAGGGCACGTACACTGTTCTGTAAATAAATCTTCTCTCTCTCTCTCTCTCTCTCTCTCTCTCTCTCTCTCTCTCTCTCTCTCTCTCTCTCTCTCTCTCTCCTCTCTCTCTCTCTCTCTCTCTCTCTCTCTCTTCCCTACTCTCTTCTATCCCTACATCTCTCTCATCCTTCACTCTCTATACCCCCTACACTCTCTCATTTTCTCTCTCTCTCCCTCCCTCCCTCCCCCCTCTCTCTCCTAACTCATTCTCACTATCCCCCACCTTTCTCTCTCTTTCTCTCTCCCTCCCTCCCTCCCCCTCTCTCTCCCTAACTCATTCTCACTATCCCCCACTTTCTCTCTCTCTCTCTCTCTCTCTCTCTCTCTCTCTCTCCTCTTCCTCTCTCTCTCTCTCTCTCTCTCTCTCTCTCTCTCTCTCTCTCTCTCTCTCTCACACACACACACACACACACACTCTCTCTCTCTGTCAGGGTTTGTTTCCCCGATTTTGGTGGGTATGGAGGCACAGTTCTGCTTTCTTCTGTTCATTTGGTTAAGGTGACCAGAGGTCGAGTCTGAGTAGCACTGAAGAGTAGATCGGGGGTCACGAGCGATGGGCGTGGCTAGCTGATCCGTTGCTGTGATTGGTCCACAGGGCGTGGCCTCCAGAATTGTCTGACCACTCTCAGATCGCTCGGCATACGCTATTAACCGTCGTCCTCGACGGCATGGTGCTGACATTCTCTGAAAGAAGTACACCAGGGCCGAGATAGGGAGAGAGACAGGAGGGCAAACAGTGGGGGGGGGAGTTGTGTGATAGCAAGGGCCGTAAGATATAATGAAAATATATCAGTTTGCAATGAGTGGTATTTCAATTATTTGCATGAATTTTCTTTTTTTTTTTTTCAATAATTAACTGTCAAAGGATAGACAGAGGAACATGCTTAGTAAGACAATAGCAACAGTCCGCGATGACTTGCTTGAGTTGCCTCAGATAGCAGGAGGTGAAAATCTGCAAGAAATAAGCATTGTGTAGAACTATAAGGAAGCAAAAGGTGTCGCAGTCCGCAAAGACAACTTCCTTAGAAAGAAATGAAAACGCAACAGTGCAGAGTTCAGCAGTGTGTAGTGCAATAGTGCATACAATATACATCTGACAAATTTGAAGTAAATGTTTTATATTTCACTGAAATTGTCTAACACATGTCACTAACCGCAAATCGATAATGAAAATAGGTAATGCAGTCGTCATAATTCAGCAGCAATTCATTACATCAAATATGTTTCCTCATGACAACATAGGCACGATAAGTATATAGTGCAAGGCAAGAATATACGATTGGCGGAAGTCGGTTATATTCTCGGAAACAGTGTGCATGTAATTCTGGTGCAATTAACGTGGTTTGTGCGAGGAGAGACGATGTGCGTATGCGGCTGCATGAGTGGTGAGTAGACAGTTGAGTTAGTGAATGGGTGAGAGTTATGAAATGAGTGTCAGAGTATAGCATACGAGTAGAAAATAGAACGCTGATGGATATTTTGTTAGAGTCATAAGTAATTTGTTGAAGTAAGAGCGATTAAAAAGAAATAGAATGGTGTGGGTGTTGGAATAATTAAGCGAAGCGTGGAGGAGAGGGTGGGCGGGTGGTTAAGAGCCAGAGGGGTGGGAAGAGGTATGGGTGAGGTATGTAGGTGAAGGTGGAAATGTGAGTTTGCGCGCAATGAAAATATTCACCAATCTGACAGCACGAAAAGAACATTCACACTAATAACAATAAACTTATGGTAATTGCAACATTAATCAACTACTATTCGAGATCATAAAAATGACCTAGCACTGACCAGTCGTATCGTGTTCTGTTTCTACTTGTGTATTAACTCTTAGAAATAAAGAGTCCGCCCTTTGAACTAGTATCGCTTCTGCCAACCAGTATCCATAGAAGAGTTTAATACCTATTACAGTGGTGGCATGGTGGATAG